GAACAGAGCTGGAAAGCAGGTTAGTGGGGTGGGGACGGAATGAGGATTTTGCAGTAACCTTCCCCTACCACGCCCACCAAGTCATGCCCACCAAGTCACACCCATGAAGCCGTGCCACTCCCACCAAACCACAACCACCAAACAGGTAGTAAAAGTTTTTGAATCCCACCACTGGTTTGGAGTAGTTAAGTTGTTGGGCTAGAAACCAGGATATTGTGTTTGTTGTTGTTAGCCGGCAGCAGGTGCGGATGGCTGAGGAGAGCAAGGACTCAGATGAGGGGCCAGGACCATTAGGGAGTGGACTGCTGTCTTCAGAGATTGTGGGGGCTGGCAGCAGCAATGAGGAGGTTCCCGAAGAGCCTGTTCCAAGTGCGCATGCGTGCAGAATTGCTCACAGGAAAGAACAGCTGTAACAGCATGGGCGACTTGGGAGTAAGGCTGCAAGGTAATGGCCCCTCCTTCAAGAAGATAAAAGCCAGCTGTGAAGTGAATGTTCTTTGCAGGAAGCAAAGATGTTTTGAAATTCAGCCTCATGGATATTACAGTTGGTATTTGAAGACAAAATATTTCTTCTCTGTTATTTTTTGGCAGCCTTGCAAAAACTTGGCAAGGCTCTTTCTTTTGGAGCTAATTAGTTGGAAGCAGCCTTTTATCTGTGAAGAAACAGGATTCATAGATGAAACATTAAAAGGTTGTGCTGCTGCCTTTGTCTTGTGTTTGCTCTCTTGGAACCAGGTTTGGGTCAGAACAGAGTTCTAGTTTTCCTTTAGGTTGGAAACCCACCTGGTAACTAGGTCGGTTTGAAACTGGGTAACTTTGGACCAATTTTTCTCAGTCCAGACCACCTCACCAAGTTGTGGTGGGGAAAAACAGGAGGAGGGAGCATAATGTATTTCCCCTTGAATTGTAAAAACCAAAGCTGGGATATAAATTTAAAAAAATACAGTATACAGTGATTTTTAAATATATCAAAGAGATAACTTATAAATACTAAGGACAGTCTTGCTGGCATTTGCTGGCAGAATGAAAAAGAAAAGGATGGCAGCAAAATGATAGGCTCATTTACAGCAGCAATTGGAAGCAATGTTGGGCTCATATTATTTAACTGAGTTGTTGCTAAGAGTAAACATCAGCTTTGTGCTACATAACCAATCAATTTATTAGAAATATATGCATCCTATTTGTATTTGTTGAATTTTGATATGAGCTGCAGAATCAAAATAGCCCAAATTATTTCTAACTTTCCTTCATATTTAGCTGACTTTTTTGCTGTTTGTTTCCTGATAGTTGTGCCGCAGTCAATGCATGCAGCCCTTTTTGGCATACTGAACGATGCTTCCCTGCCTTAAGATGTTTGCAAGCGATGATTCAACACAGGCGATATTTCTATGGAGGAAAACAGGCTGGGAAAGAATAGGCATTATTTTCCTGACGCAGTCTCACTTAGGCTCAGGTAGAGCAGGGCAGGGCTACAAGTATTCTCTCTTGCATTCCTTCTGAGGCCATGAATCAAACCAGAGCTTTAAAAATAGCCCCACATCTTTTTTTTCCTATTTTGCTGTTTCTGTTGATCCTCTTCCTTGCATGACAGGATACCAAATAAAAAATATACTTGGACCTTGTCTACTGCCATGATGTCTGATTGATTGGCTATAAGTACATAAACAAAACTTATATGTTTTTGTTCTAAGCCTGAATCAATCAATTACAGTCACTTCTTCCCAGGAGTGGGAAGATTCAGTGGTGGGATTCAAAAAAATTTACTACTGGTTTGGTGGGTGTGGCTTGGTGGGCTTGGTGTGGCTTGGTGGGCATGACTTGGTGAGCACGGCAGGGGAAGGATACTATAAAATCTCCATTTCCACCCCGCTCCTGGGGAAAGGATATACTGTAAAATCCCCATTCCCTCCCCAGTCCACTAACCTGCTTTCCAGTTCCATTCTTCTGTCCAGGGCAACAAAAGAAGACCCAACCGATCAGTTGGGCCTCGGGAGACAACGAATAGATGGGGGCAGGGCCAACCAGAGGCGGTATTTACCAGTTTTCCAAACTACTCAAAATTTCCGCTACCGGTTCTTCAGAACTGGACAGAACCTGCTGAATACCACCTCCGGTGGGATTCCACCAGTGTAACAACCAATTTGGTGATCGCACGCTTTCACAATCCAAAAATGTCTCAAGTGTCACTTGAATACAAGATTCTGTTTCTTTGCTCCTGTGATCTGATAAATATATGATAAGATTCTTTTGGGGCAGCAGTCATGGTCAAGAAGCAGGGACACTAAAAATAACCACCCAATATTGTTAGTTTCCTCTTCTTTTGTTCACATGATACTTGGCTGGTTTTAACATTCAGGCGTGATGTCCTTCTTTCCTCTTTAATTCTACAAATATATTTATATTTATCATGCATACCACATATAAGTCATGGGTCTATTGTTTGGCTATTGGCACAGGAAGATCTACATTTGGTATTTGAAAGATTGATGACTAGAACTGTAATTATGAATGTAATGTTGAATTATTAGGAAGTTCCCATTTATTTCATGCAGAGAATTCAGATGTCAGGTTGCTGACTAATTGACTATGCTGGTTCTCGGTTAGATCCAGCAGGGGGATGTGTGCAATAACAGGAGATAAGTTTCAGTTTAAGCTTAGAGAAGAATGAATTTGCCACTCCCTCAAATTTATTGTCATTCAAGGAAGCTTATTTAGTCTGCACCTCATCTGCTTTGGGGGTGGGGGGAGCTTTCAACAGGCCTTCTTCTGATGTTCAGATTGGACAGGCAGATTCAAATCTAGCAAGACATTGCCTACTATATTCTGATGCCAGGCTATATAATACTGTAGTTCCAGTTAATGATCATGGTTGGTGATATGCTTCAATAATATTTTTTTTCTCAGCTATCTCAGCACAAATTTTATCCCAATACATTTTGATAGCCAATACTTTTAAGTAAATGATAAAGCATTTTATTTTGTAAAGTTTTGATCTGCAAGCTGATTTCACTGTAAATGCCAAGATTATGAGGGAGAAAACTATTATAAAATCAAAGTCACCCTCAGGAGAGATCCTTCCTTCCTTCCAATTTGGAGAAAAGGGCTTGCTTAGATTAGGAATATCGCTCTAATGAAATTTCCTTCCCTACCACTGTTGCCTTGATACTATGGAAGCGTCACTGTGTGTATTTAGTTTTTACTTTACTTCACTTTTACTCTTACATGGTCCAGAAAGTCAGTTTATCTTGTTACTTCATTTTTGGTTCTGTAAGTAATATTAGTAAACATCATTTATATCAGATATTACAACCATCAGATCAGGGCTGCAAAAATCCAAACACTAGAAACAGCAAAGAACTCCTCTAGTTACTTTCTTGCATCTGGATAATTTGTAAGATTTGGTCAACTTTAATCATTTGGAATCAATCCCACCAATCATTCTAAAAGGATATGGGTTCCACTATACTAGAAAAAAAAAACCTTTTATAAAATAGCCACACACTTATATAAATATTTCTGTTATATTTATAATTGAAGACAAGAATTAAAGACAAACCTTTGCCAGTTTACTCTGCATTTCACATAGCCACATTTCAAAGGTACTTCCAGATTTGACTGATAGAGCCATGGTTAGAGCAGGGATTAGAATGCAGTATTGCAGTCTAATTCACCGTTCACCAACAGGAGTTCAGTTCTGACTGGCTCAAGGTTGACTCAGCCTTTGATCCTTCTGAGGTCAGTAAAATGCAGACCCAGATTGTTGGGAGAAATAGGCTGACTCTGTAAACCTCATAGAAAGGGTTGTAAAGCACTACAAAGTGGTATATAGAATAGAATAGAATAGAATTCAATTCTTTATTAGCCAAGTGTGATTGGACACACAAGGAATTTGTCTTTGGTGCATAAGCTCTCAGTGTACATAATTCTATATGTACATTTAATTCTAAGTGCTGTACACGTAATATAATTATTATTATATTGTAATTATATTACATGTACATATAATATAATTATATGTACATGTAATATAATTCGAAGTGCTATTAGGAAATGGGTAGCACATAAATTTAATGAATAATAATAAATAATACAGTTCCATCTCTGGTGCACTTCTCATTAATGGAGAATGCCAATTCATATGATCATTCAGGAGGCACTTGCAAAAACATAACTTTTGGCTTCAAGACAACTTCTTCCCCTATGGTTTTTTTTTTCAAAGGTAGACTGCTCTTGAACTTGGTGTTTCTACACAAGCAGGCATAAAAGCATTCCATCCCACCCAGATCTAAAAAGCTTTGTAGAAATTAGACAAAACAGGATTGGCAAGATCTGTTCCCATTGAAACTTAAGCACAGGTAGTCCTTGACTTACAGCACTTCATTTAGTGACCATTCAAAGTTACAAAGTCACTGAAAAAAGTGGCTTATGACCATGTTTCACACTTAGGGCCGTTGCAGCTTGTGATTTACATTTGGATGCTTGACAACTGACTCACATTTATGACGGTTGCAGTGTCCTGGGGTGAGGTGATCCCCTTTTATGACCTTCTGCCAAGCAAAGTCAATGGGGAAGCCAGATTCACTTAACAACTGTGTCACTAACTTAGCTACCGCAGTGATTCACTTAACGAATGTGGCAAAGAAGTTGTAAAATGGGGCAAAACCTATTTAACAAATTTCTCACTTAGCAACCTAAATTGGGGGCTCAATTGTGGTCCTAAGATGGGAACTCCCTGCATTTGTCCAGTAGTTACAGGGGAGAGAGTTTTCTTGCAGAGGGTGTTGAACTGATTATTCATATTAGTTTGTCACAGCCTTTTATGCTATGATGACCTTTCCAAAAGATATTTTTCTTATAGTTCCTCTTATCAAAGGGTGTGAAATGAACAGCTCTAAGGAGCTTGTGTAACGCCAGAGAGAGGTGTGTCTTCTTTTCACTGTCCTGCTACAAAAATTGGACCAACCCAGCAAGAAACGGCATTATAGAGCATGATACTTGATGTAGGAATTACAACTATCTAGAAAGTTAGAGGAGAGTCAGAACAAATATTACGGTTTGGATGCGAGAAAAAAATCAGAACTTTGATTTTGTTATCTGTTTTACAACGAGCAGTTTCCAGGAAATGGGCATTTTCTTGGTCATTTTTTGTCTCTTGGGTAAGTGCAATTTAAATTTATTTATTTTGCAAATGTTGCAAGAGTTGGATTTGCCAGAAAGTGCAAATTGCATGCTGGCATATACATCTCACTGCAGTACCTTGTGCTTTAATTTTTTAAACTACAATTTGGTTTCTATTTAGGAGGGGATATATTGTAAAATACAAAACCAAATCAAAGGTCTCTCAGGTTGGTTTATTGGAGTCAATACTGACAGTTAATATCTAGAAAGTTTTAATCTATGTTAGAGGTGGTTGCAAATTGCTGATCAAGATACTGTATACTGTTTAAACTTTTTAAATAGAAAGCATTGACAATTCAAAATTCAGATTTACTGTTTCTTAGAGACATACAGCTTTTTCATTTTTCTTGTTTGCTAATCTAAAATCTAAATCTAAAATCTAATCTGAAAAAGAGAATTTTATTTAATTTACACATTATAACCAGTACATATGGAGAGATATGACATGGTGAGGGAAATTAGGATGAAGGAAAAGGGACTGTATCTATCATATTTGTAAAGCCCCTCATCACACATGAAAGTAACTCATACCATACTTCCATAGTGTGCCATTTCCCATGTCCAGGTAGTCCTTGAATTACAACAGTCCATTTAATTACAGTTTGAAGTTACAATGGCACTGAAAAAGTGCAAAGAAGAGCAACTAAGATAATTAAAGGCCTGGAGACAAAAACATGTGAAGAACGGTTGCAGGATTTGGGTTTGGCCAGTCTAGAGAAATGAAGGAAGACATTATTGCAGTATTCCAGTATTTGAGAGGTTGCCACACAGAGGAGGGGGTCATTTATCAAAGCACCAGAGGGCAGGACAAGAAACAATGGATGGAAACTAATAAAGGAGAGAAGCAACCTGGAATTAAGGATAAACTTCCTAACAGTGAAGACCATTAACCAGTGGAACAGTTTGCCTCCAGAAATCGTGGGCACTCCATCACTGGAGGTTTTTAAGAAGAGGCTGGACAGTCAGTCACTTGTCTGAAATGGTATAGAGCCTCCTGCTTGATCAGGGGGCTGGACTAGAAGACCTCCAAGGTCCCTTCCAGCTCTATTCTGATTGAAAAAAGTGACTTATTCCACTTTTCATACTAATGACTGTGGAGCATCCCCATAGTTACATGATTTACATTTGGATGCTTGACAACTGGTTCATATTTATGACAGTGTCCTAGGGTCATATGAACATCTTTTGCAACTTCTTACAAGCAAAGACAATGGGGAAGCCAGATTCACTTAACAACCGTGTTACTAATTTAACAACTTCCATGACTCACTTTAAAAAACGTGGCAAAGAAAAGTCGTAAAATGGGACAAAACTCACTTAACAACATAAATTTGGGGCTCAGTTGTGATCATAAGTTGAGGACTATCTGTAAAATGCTGGTCTAAATGTTGAACAAGAAGAGCTATTAATTTACTAAGGTTTCATTTCCCACTGTTTGTAGTCTGCCCAGTTCAAAAATTCTGTGTACAACAAAGCATACGTACAAAAGTAAAAATTCAAAGCAGATCAAATCGACATTTGATGGATGCTCAGAAGAATTAGTTAAGACTAAAGACACGACTAAAGAGCCAATTTCATATGGTAAAGGCATCAAGCCTTACTTAATCACTCATTAACTGGGACATTTTGAGTTTTAGTCCCGCCATGGGCATGAAGTTAGTTGGGTAACCTTGTACCGCTGCCTTTCTCTCAGCCCTGGAAAGCCACCAATTGCAAATCACTTCCAAACACCTTACCAAGAAAACAGCAGGGACTTGTCTAGCCAGACATAAGGATTCAAAACCTTATTGAAAAAACCAAAATGGACACACACCAAGACAATGGAATAAAGTTTTCATTGCTTTTTTACGGGGTAGCAATGGGGAGAAGACTTAAGTGTCCTTCCTAGGGATGGAAGTGCTGAAGTGTGGAGGCATGAAGAGGTCTGTACCCTTCATACAATTTGTGGTTGGGTGGGGACATTCCAATAGAATAGAATTCTTTATTGGCCAAGTCAAGCGTGATTGGACAGAACGATTCTATTTAAGAATTCCTGAGTTTGTGTTTTTACTAGATAGTGCTTGGTTTGGTCTACAAAAATGTATCCAATCTATATAGCAAAAGCAGATGTTTTAAGACAAAATGAGTTGAATGATGCCTATTTTGAAAACCAGTGACAGGCATCTTCATTCTGCTTTCTAAAAAACAGATGGATTTGTAGATCAAAGCGGGGCCCTGTCTATTTGCATCAACACAGGTAACCCTGGGGAGTTGTCTTCAAAACAATTAAGAGGGTGGCCATTAACGATGTGATTGACACCCTGCCCCGTTTTTATATAGACAGCATTGCACATACCACATATAAGAAACAGGGATGGGGTTGGGATTGTGTGGTTACAGTTGCTGTCTTGACATTTCAACACATGCATACACATATGGGTCATCCTCTGTTGGGTGACGGTCAGCCAGGTAAGATTTTCACAGGCAGGTTACAAAGATGAAGGTCCATAACTAACACCATTGTTTGATTACTGTAAAAGAATTCACCTAATCCCTTTATAAACCGTCACCACCACACCTTGTAGTTGCAAATTCCACAAGTATACTTCTGGTATCAAGCTCTACTGCAGGGGTGTCAAACTCAAGGCCCGGGGGGCGGATCTGGCCCATAAGGTGCTTAGATCTGGCCCACGGGGATGCCCTGGAAATAGCGAAGGACCGGCCTGCGGTGCCTCTGCCAGCAAAAATGGAGCTTGTGAGGGCCACGTGTGGCCCCCCCCAAGCTTCGTTTTCACTGCCAGAGGGTTGCAGGAGGCTCTTCCAGCCAAAAACAGAGTTCAGGAACCTGTTTTCACTGGCAGAGCACTCAGGCCACCACAGGCGCCCTCCTGACACAAGTGATGGCATGCTAGCCACACCTACCCTGGCCACACACTCCGGCCCTCCCAAGGTCAAACATAGCCCTGATGCGGCCCTCAGTGAAATTGAGTTTGACACCCCTGCTCTACAGGATGATGTTGCAAAGGGAGAACGGGACATTCCTTCTCCATTTCTTATTACTGTGACTTAAGGATATTCTGTGAAACCGATCCCCAGGGGCTGAAGGCAGGAAAAGGAAGTGATTCTACATTCAATGTTCCCATGTACTAATATTTTTCAGCCTTGGCAACTTTAAAATGTGTGCACTCCAACTCCCAGAATTCCCTAGTCAGGGCAATTCTGGAAGTTGAAGTCAACACAGTTGCCCTAGAATGATTGAGAATCATTGCCTTAGTCAGTGCAGAGTTAAATTTTCAGGGTGGACAATTTTTGGCTACAGAGAGATGCATCCAGAGATGGCAGTCCCCAAAGTACTATGTTAAAGGATAATCCAGATTTCATTCAATTTCATTTACCTTTAAGTTAACTAACATTTTGAGGTAGCGAAGATGATGCCATTCCAGTAACTTATTTAAGAAGAACTGTTGCAGGAACTGGGCATGGCTAGTCTAGTGAAGAGAAGGACCAGGGGAGACATGATAGCAGTCTTCCAATATTTTAGGGGCTGCCATAGAGAGGAAGGGGTCAAGCTATTCTTCAAAGCATCAGAAGGCCAGTCAAGGAATAATGGATGGAAACTGAACAAGGAGAGATTTAACCTGGAAATAAGGAGAAACTTTCTGACAGTGAAAGCAACAACCAGTGGAACAGCTTGCCTTCAGAAGTTGTGGGAGCGTCATCACTTGAGACTTTCAAGAAGAGATTGGACTCCCATCTGTCAGAATTGGTGTAAGGTCTCCTGCTTGGGCAGGGGGTTGGACTAGATGACCTACAAGGTCCCTTCCAACTCTGATTATCTGTTACCTCTTATAATTAAACTGTTTAGTATTTAAACAACTGATTTAATAATTGTGTCAGTTTATTTCACAATTATTATGTAGCTTATTTATTTAAGTGTTTCCGTTATTTAACTTCCTGCTCCCATAAATATTCAGTTATTTTTCTGGAGGGCTTTCCAAGGCCTTCTGGATCAAGATATAGCTCTAGTCTAGGGCCCCAAATTATGCCATAGATGTTGCCATATACCTGGAGAATAGCTCACCGTTATCAACTTCTTTTTAAGAGGTGAACAGTGCTATTAAAAAATATTTCATTTTTTTAAAAAGCAGGTTTTCAGGAGCTGAAGATTGTAAGATCACAGTGACTTGAGGATATTTTTGAAGTCAGTAGAAGAGCAATTTGGAGCACATTTATGTTTTGGAGATGGATGAGATTACAAATCTGTAGCATAATTAAATGTATAATGCCTGTTAAAAGAGCTTAACACCTTTTTTTTCTCCCATGAAAAAATCAGTAGGAAATTATGCTATTGTAATGGTAGCACTCAATGGTTGCCCTCAATTTTCACTTAACGATCATTCAAAATTACAATGACTCTGAAAAAGATGTACAACCTGTGATTTCTGTAAACAATCTATGATTGTTGATTGTTGACCCCCCCAGGGTCACATGATTAAAATTTGGGTGCTTGGCAACTGGTAGGTATTTATGATGGTTGCAGTATCCCAGGGTCCATGATCATCATTTGTGACTTTCTTCTCTGGTTTCTAACAAGTAAAGGGAAGCCAGATTTGCTTAATAATTATGTGATTAATTTAACCATGTTGATTCACTTAACAACCACAGCAAAAAGTCATAAAAGTGGACACAACTCATTTAACAACTGCCTTACTTAACAACAAAAATTCTGGTTCCAAGTGTGGTTATAAGTTGAGGACTATCTGTAATTGATACTGGTTGTTAAGCTTTGGTGATATAGACTGAGATAGATAGATAGATAGATAGATAGATAGATAGATAGATAGATAGA